ACCGAGTGGTCCATCCATCAAACCCATAACCCAATTTAGTTTTATTGGTAATAATAAATTTGTTAAATTGGTAGCAGATATAAAAAAATTGTAAAATATAAATAAACAAAAATATAAAATATTTTGCACCTATAGTTAGAGAAGTGAAAGTCTGAGTTTAAGCATGAATCTATAGCATCATCTTGCTTTTGCATAAATAAGGTCTTAAATGCTTGAAAATTTGTGTGCTTTTCTCAAACAATCCCACTAGTTTTTTTAGCTTTCAGGATGTTCAAAACACCCTGAATTTCTTGGTGGTTTGTTATCATACCTTTTCACTTTCTGTATAAGCATGATTTTCCAAGTTAAACTGGAAGAAAGTCATACATACAGGATGACTGTAAATATATTTTTGAAGTTTGTGCATAAAACATATCAGGAATTCAAGATCAAGATTTTGAGATTCTTATATAGGCATGTGAGTGAAGTGACAAGACATAAAGATATATTCAGCATCCAGTAGCTCTCCTAGACAGCAAAACACTCTAGACAGCTTTTTTGAAAATATGGCTACTGGATAAGATATCGTAAAGGAATTTGAACCTTTTAGAAAATGTCCAGATCCAGAGCAATGAGCTCTTAAATTTTATTCTTTCTGTGCCTAAAATAAACAGTATCCTTTTGCCTGACCTATGAATTTTGTTTGTCAACTGTGCAGCACTGCCGTCACGGAATTTGTGTGAGCAGAGAAATGGAGACACGTCCTGTAGATGGAGAATGGGGACCATGGGGGCCTTATAGCTCATGTTCAAGAACTTGTGGAGGTGGAATAAAGAGCACCACCAGGCTGTGTAATAGACCAGAGTATGTGTTTTAATGTGTTTTTATGTTAGTGCATAATGAAAATGCTATGACATAATGAATTGATTCAAAACAAAATAAAAGTATTGCAGGTTGTACAAATTAGTTTGAAGCACCAGATAAAAAAAAAAAAGCCTGTTTCAGCTATGTCTGGAAAGAGAGATACATCTACAGACTCTAATATGCAGATTTACATTAGTCTTGTCTCTCAACTATGTCAATTCATATATATAGATATTCCTGAAGACTTATTTTGACAGGGCCTTGTTTTCTAGCTTTACTCTAAATGCTGAGGATTTCTTTTAACTTTGAGATGCTTTCTTTGGAATAAAAGCTGCAAAAGAAGTAGATGTATTCCCTGGTAATAATCTTAGTGAAACACTTAATTTGCTTTGATTTAAGGCTTTTTCACAACATCATCACCAATAGCACCCACAAGGAACACTGATTACAGCAGACTCGTTTACAACTTACAATGAGAAACTTCAATTGAATAATTCAATGTGAGTTTCATTCTCTGTAATAAAAGTCAATGAGAACTTTACCATTAACTTCTCCAGAAGCGGAACCAGAGCTGCAGTCTGGGTAGTTTGAGGGTTTTTCTAGGAAGTCATGTCATCTTGATATTATCAGTGAGATAAATGAACCTGAATCAGTTGACCTCAGGTTATTTTATTTTCTCTGATGAGTAAGAGGCGATAGATTAGATTCCCATTAGATATGCCTGTCAGTCTGTAGTAACTGATAGTATCAATATGCCATTGATTTATTCTCCTTTTCTTCTCCAAGAACCTATTAATACTGAATTATTGTGTAGCAGGGTTTATAAGAGTTATGAAATGTATTTTAGATGTTACAGTAAATGGGATGTTTTCCACAGTTTTCCCTTTTTAGTTCTTTTGATCCTCAAACTGAAACCAATATTAGGGCTACAAAAAAAAGAATGTGTCAGCTCCTAACTGTGTCGTCTTTCTTTGTCGCTCTGTAAAATAATGATTTCAAATTACGGAGGAAAATTGTGCTTCTGTAAAAACAGGGCTGTAATCTCAGCTAAATTGATAAAAGCATTAACGTTAATAATGTTGCTTCCCAGGCAAAATAATTATGTAAGAGAAATAAAAATGTAATAGACATTAATAAACATCAGTAGCTCAATTACCACCTACCTTGGCAGTAGTATTTTACCTGGACTTTGTATTTTCTTCACTTGAGTATAAATGTATGCACAGTGTAATAGAAGATAAGAGGTGAGGGGGGGGAAGTCAGTAACAGATGGTGGAATGCTGTGTCAGATTTTCCCCTTTCCTTTAGATTAGTGGCTCAAGCCACTTTTCATGGAAACCAGCAATTTTAGAAACTGAGTGTGTTTTACATTTACCTATTTTTGTTAGACCGAGAAATGGAGGAAAGTACTGTGTTGGCCGCAGGATGAAATTTCGATCATGTAATACTGATTCATGTCCAAAAGGCAAAAAAGATTTCCGGGAGCAACAGTGCTCTGAATTTGATGGCAAACACTTTAATATCAACGGTCTTACATCTGCTGTTCGCTGGCTTCCAAAATACAGTGGTAGTAAGTAATCATAAATTTTTTCAATTAATGAAATAAAAATGTTACTTTAATTAAAGTTTTCAAACAGACAAGAAACCTGTTGGATTTTCTTTCCAGTTTCTATGAAAGATCGCTGTAAACTTTTTTGCCGAGTTTCTGGAACAACTTCCTACTATCAGCTGAAGGACAGAGTTGCTGATGGTACTCCCTGTGGAGCAGAAACCAATGACCTTTGTGTTCAAGGCTTGTGCAGGGTATTTAAATCTAAACTTATTAATTATTAAAATCAATTTAACAGATGGTTAAGTAGATAATAAATATTCATCCAAATAACTATTACTGAAAATATGTAAATAAGATGTATTGAATTCGCTTAAGTTAATTTCAATCCCTACCAAATTAAAGATCTGGAAATGGAGGCTATTAAATGAAGAATATACAGTTATATATGCCCACAGTCTTTCCTAGTTAAGCCCCATATTATTAGAGAGTAAATATTGTCTAAGCGAGCAGAGAGAAAGTGATCTAAAATTAGCATAAAGGGAGGAAAGAAGCATGCTGTGTGTTTATTGCTGTTGTTTTTCTGCTATCAAAGAAGAAAAAAGTAGAAAATCCAAGAGTAGCTAGATTATGTATTTATTATTTCATTCCAAAATCGGGAGGAAATGACACTTGAAAGGGCTCATTTCAGCCTTCTTTGCTTAACAGCAATTATGGAAGTGCTACCAGATTTTGCTGGGAGAAACAAGGTGCTATGTTGTAACAACTCAAGATTTTTTTTTTTTATCAAGCCCAGGTTGTTTTGCCGATGGCAGTGAAACTCAGTAAATTCAGAATAAGGAGAAAATTTAGCCTTTTTTATAGTTTTGAATCAAGAGGAAAGAGGAAATGCCAGAGAATTGTCCTGCTTATCATATTTTTTTAAAAAGAAGCTTAAGTAAAGATACATAAAGAAAAATTGTGCTTATGCTAGTTTAACCAGCATAGTCTACGTGTATTCCTTTGCTTCTTTTGCAGTAATGACAGACTTTAAAAGAATTGATGACCATGTATACATACATACTGCTTTTAGGATTCCAAGACTTTTTAATGTAAATATAACTTAAAATTTATACACTATGTTGATTTTTTTAATGCAAATTATTTACATGTTGTTATGTATTCTTATACAGTTCTTGACATATTAAGTGTATTTGGATTGTACATTCTTAGCACAACAGCACTATTGTGTTTTGGCCTTATATTGCTGCACTCAAAAACATAAAAGGCTTTTTATGAATTGCTAAGGAAGACCAGATATACGTAGTGAATAAGAATATTTTTGCGGAGTGGGAAGCTTACATTGTTTGTTTTCATTGTTTTTTGCTGGGCTGAGTGACACAGGGCTATTGTCATTTTTTTTGGTTTTTTTTTTTTTTTTTGTAGCAAGCAGGCTGTGATCATGTTTTGAATTCCAAGGCAAGGAGAGACAAATGTGGAATCTGTGGTGGTGATAATTCTTCATGTAAGACTCTTGCAGGTACTTTCAACAGTGCTCGCTATGGTATGTATGTTTGTTTTGTTGTTGTTTTTTTTTTAAATCTTAATACACATTTCAGTATTGCTTAAGTTATGTTTCACATTTTAGGAAGTGGGATTTCAGTGTATGTTCTTTAGCACCTCTGTCAAAAAATATCTGTGATTTTCAGTTACATATGCCTTCTCAAGGGTGCAAACATTGTGACACACTAACCCATTCAAGGGGGGAGTGGGAAAATCGTTCTGCTCTAAGGTCAAAGCAAAAGACAGCAGTTAAAGATATGATGAGGGTAAAAGTACTTTAAAAGGAAGAATGCCTCCTGCTTTGCACTCTGTAATCTCTCATCTGAAACTATGCAGCTGAAGGACTTATTCCAATGTCTCCTTTTGGTTGTGTGAAGAGATAGCGAGAAGTTTGGGGTGTGAGCAGCTGATGAGGCTCCATTTTTCCTATAGTGATTGCTCATGAATTGTGAGCCTTCTTTTTGCAGAGAACATGGGCAGCAACGTTTATGTTCTTTCCTCTTCATTGACAGGTAGTGAATGAGAAACTTCTGAATAACCCTGGTAATTTATATTTATTTGATTTAGTTTCTCTAATAGAGCTACTGACAGTTCTTCTATATGTAGTCTTCTGGGAAAGTATGGAGAGACTATTGTATGTGTGTAGCAGTGCAGTTAAGTAGTTAGAGCGTAGAACATAAGGACAGAAGTCTCCAGGCTGATATCAGATTCCTAAAGGCTCCTTCATGCTGCTTCACTGGTTGAAAGAGACCACAGGCGAAGTGAAAATGATACCTGGAGAGCTGCCAAATAGGATCTTCATAGAACAAAAGAATTGCTGGCTGAAGAGGAAAGTATGCCCAGTATCCTGTTGGATTATTTTATATTTTTTTTAAACTGACAGAGGACTTGCTCCAAGCAAAAGTACCAATAAACCTAAAGGTGGGATACAGCTACCCTTCCCATACAAATACACATAACTTTTCTTGTGTCTGTCCTGAGAAGTTGGAAGAAAACACAATCATAGAATCATAGAATGGTTAGGGTTGGAAGGGACCTTAAAGATCATCTAGTTCCAACCCCCCTGCCACGGAGCTATTAGAGACTGGATTTCTTAACATGTGGTCAAAACACTGAAGGAAAATAATCTATTATTTTCATAATTCTGAGTAAAGAACTGTCAATATTTTTATTTCCCCCCCGCTGTGAAAGATCTTTTTGCTTATAGGTAGCACATGAATTCTATCAAATACTTTTGATTCAGGTGACCATTACACTGAAACTACCGTTTATACATCTATGGTTGAGACTGTTACTCTCCGCTGTTTATCAGCTTTGCATTGTCACAGACTTATTTGCTTCTAACTGAAGTTGGAGGGAAAAAAAAGCCACTGCATTTTAGGATGAGGAAAACCTTGATTTATTATTTTGATTTTATACTTAGTTGAATATTATAAATTATGTTCAAATTCTTGGAATTATAGCATGTAAAAGATGATACTGAATTTATGCTACTGGACAGTATGCTAAACATTTGGGATTATCACTCAGGTGTGCTTGAGTAGGAGTGCAGCAAGGCAAACAAGAGGTTGTACATAGCTGATCACTAAAACTTCAGTGTCTGTGGGAGGCCTACAACATCCCCAGGCTAATGACTGAAAACATTGTCTGAGGAAATGTTCTTTTCCAAAAAGTTCTGAGTTAGGATCACAAGATAAGTATGCCAAAGTCTGTCTGCTTGATCTTTTTCTTTTAACTTCACCTGGTCCCCTTCCGTACTGACCTGAGTCGTTTTACTAAAGCAGAGTTTGAAAGTGGACCATAGCAGCCTGTGGGACGTGCTTGTATTCATAGTTACAACGTTCTCATTGAGTGTTTAAACAGTAGTGAAACAATCATCAGAAATTCATTACAACGAAATTTTAATTTACTTATCTCTCAATTTAGGAAATGGTAATCTAATTATGCAAAGAGAATTATTATGTTGGCTATTATTATTGCATCAAATTAGAGTATCTGAGGATTTCCGGGAAAATAGTCATTCTCAGTGCCTTAGTATGTGATCTATTCTCCTGTGTATCCTTGACAACATGCTATGCAGCTTTGTTTATAATTTCCTCCCATATTTTGTCTCCTGTCATTCTATTACCACAAAATCTTCAGTGTGTGAGATGAGGGACTTTTTAAATTGTGTTTTGGTTGTCTTCGTGGTATGTTGGAAGATTGACCAAACACTGCGTGTTTATCCACATCATGCGGCGCGTCAATTTGCAATTGCAGTGCTGCCCCCAGCTGGTAAATGTGATGGACTGGTGATTAGATTAAATGTTCATTCGCATGCTTTGAGTAGTTTTAATAGATTAAAAGCACTGGGAAGTTAAAGAATTATAATGAATATAATTAGAAGATTATATTGCCATTTAAATTTTTCCCCACAGAGGTGAGTCAACTAACTAAAGTGAAATCGTGGCAAGACTGTTAAACACAGCAAAATAAGTGGAAAAGTTAGCAAAGATTATGTTAATGCTGCAGATTGCATGTTTGTGTTTACTGTTTCCGATGTTTGTTATCCTCAGTTTTTCTTAGACATAAGAATCCTTTTGAGTTTGTGATTAGCATCTGTGAGAAACAGTTTTTTAATTTTATTTTTTTTATTTTAACCTATGTTTATGTGCAGAGCAGTAGTTCTAAAAAGCAGATTTTGATGCACCTTGTCACCTTATGACAAGTCTACCATAATAGTAGTTGGAGGTATTACAGGAAATGACGACTCATTTGTGAAACGTTTGTGTTTTGAAGGGAGCACACTGGGGTAACATTTTGAGTAGCAGAACATGGATCAAACATGTCTGGTGCATCGGATATATCTACCAATGTGTATGACCTGCTAAACTGCAATATTTGAGTATTTAGGACTCGTTCTTTAGAGTGCTGTCATGCAATACTCTTGTGAGACAGAGAAAAGCTAACTCAATTGTATAAACAGGGAGTGGAGATATTTCATGTTAAGTGTCTTACTTAGACTTGTGTAAAAGTTTTGTAGTTAAATTGTGAGGAGCCACAATGTTTCCTGAGTCCCACTTAACATACCTGACTGCTTTCTAGAGTAGTGCTGCTCTCTAGAGACTTTTTCAGTGTAGACTGAGCTCATGTTATTGGTAAAGAATTGAATTCACTTTTCTGAACACAGGAATGAATTTTAATGAGTTATGAAAATAAAAATTCAGTTCAACTGATTAAAACCAAAAACCACCAACAAAGAAATTTAGTATGCATGAAGATATTCACATTTCCTTACTAAAACATGAAGGCATTCAGCAGTGGTTGTCACTGGTGCACTGTAGAGTTTTGTGAATAAAACTAGTTAAACATATGTTCATAGTTACTGGTACTTGACTATTTTTTGTATATAATTAATTTGTGAATAATTACATTGCAGGTTACAATGTTGTAGTAAATATTCCCAAAGGAGCAACAAACATTGATATTCGGCAGCACAGCTACTCAGGGAAACCAGAGGATGACAACTACCTTGGTAAAAACCTCCTGTGTATAATATTGGTAGAAAGTGTTTGTGCTCTTGCCAGATATCTGCTCTAGACATGTATTATCAGAAGTCTGGTAAAGTCTTTAGAGCAGATATCTAATTACATTTTGTCATCATTTGCCTGAGTCTCTCTGGAGATAGTAGTTTTCAAAAAAATGAGATGTTGTTAGGTTTCTAATTATAATACATTGCATAATTTTGCCAATATTTTTTTGTGTGTGTGTGGCAATGTTAATTAAAACTCCACAAGCAAACTCAGGAATAATGCAGGTATTAGTGGTTTTAAATCTTGGAAGCATGCACTTTGTTTATGAACAAAGCAGTCTGACCTTAAGCAAACTTATCAGTGGTCTCACATTTCTCTTTTTCTATCATGTCTGAGTGTAAAGATCTCACGTTGATAGATTTGTAAGTCTGTGAGAGGAACAAAGAATTCATAAGCACATTGGACCAAAATTCTTGGTTGGTTGATTTCACAGTACTTATGTTATATCTGAAGTGCCTGAGAGAATATTGGTGCATATTTTCCTTCTGTCTCTTCTTCCATTAGCATCCTACTCAACGAACTTAAGATTTTCAAAATATTTTCCTTGCCACCTGTTGCCCTATTGCCACACATGCACCCAC